CCCCCTCCCACCCCCTAAAAACATCCCACCCTAGCAAGCCCTGCTGGGATCACCCTCTGCTTTTCAGAACACAGTAAGAGATAGTATATTTGCTTCTAATTCATGCTGCACATATTAGGAAAGGCCAAGAGCAACAGAGCAGGCAAGCACAGAACTACTCCAGAGATTGCTAGGTAAGAGCAGAGCAGTGCCCAGGGTCAGCCAGTGATGGTTAACCAGTGCCAGACCAAAAAACTCTTTCAAGAAGAATAACAGTAGCAGTTGGGAAGAGAATTTTCAGCATACACTTAGGTGCCTAACATTAGGCTGTGAGTAAACAGGAGACTCCTCAAGGAGCCTCATTAACTGAGGCAAAAGGCTTAGATCTCACTGGCCCCAGCTGATGTCTCTCCAACTCTTGGACTCAGCTCTAGGACTAAGCCACTCAGTTCCTCAGACCACAGCTGACAGTGTAATGCCCTTTTAAAAGCAAGTCCTCGTTTAACTTGGGCTGGTTAGTGAAGACAACATCAGAATGTTTAGCCTGGTGGGGTATTTTCCATCCTACAATGTGCTGGTGAGTGAAGCTCCTCGTGAGGCTGTTGTGTGCTTAGTTCCATGTGCAGTGCAGAGTGACTTCACCAGAGCACTGACTGCACCACGTGCCCAACGTGTTTACCTCTGCCACGTGGCTCCACACTTAAAGTCTGATCTGCTTTGTCTGATAGTTTCCCTATGTCTTTGAGCACACAGTTCTAAGGTTAATTTACTACTAGTGAAAGGTCACTCAATTGCAGGGCAATCACTGGATTCCTTAAAGGAATCAACCCAGACAATTATAGTCACTCATGTCTCACTGCTTCATTAGAAAATAAAATCACAGTAATTTTCATCCTGAAGATCTGAAATTTTGCCGTAAACAAACTATTTTTACTATCATTTTTCAAACTCTACAAACATGAACACTTTCAGTTCAGAAAGGAACATTATTTCCCCCTCTATTCTGTCTCTACTGGGCAAAGGCTTTATATGAATCACTGGACATTGCCTTACACTCTGCATACAGATCTATTTTTGAGTCTTAAATTCTGGATATGGAAGAAGATTTTTTGGTGTCACCTACCTGTCTGTCCTTCAGCAACAATATTGCAAAGAATAAATGACCTCTGGAAGATATTCCCAACTGTTCCTCACTAAGGGATTTCAGGGAAAATTCCAACTGTGTTGTAAAGTGAAGAACACTGAGGAGCTTCTTCTACAGCTGTTACTTTCTATCTTCCTTTTTTCAGCTCAGCTTAATTTAAAGAAGTCAGAATTTTAGTTTATCATGAATTAGCAGCAAGGAATACAAATGAGCTCAGTCCTTACACAGTATGTAATTCATGACTTCACACACAAAATACACTCTTGGTATTAATATATGTGCCCACATTTCTCATGAACTTCATTTAACACACACAGGTTGTAAAACCAAGTGCAGGAAGCTTAACCTTTGGTTTTGTTCTACATCAAAGAGTTTCTGCAAAACCATTAATTTTTACATCCAAGTTTTACACGGCAAACATTCCTTCCGTGGTGGAGCAGACAGAACTGGGCACTAATGCTTCCTCCCTCCCCTTCACACCAAACTGCCAAGTGTCTGCTACTCACTCCACAAACTGAAGGCTCATGTCTTGCTCACTGCTCTGCACTGGATGGCAGAAAGGCAAAGGGGACCAGCAGGAAGCAGTGAGACCTAACAGCCAAGTCAACACATAGTTCTGTCAAACAAGTAATACCTTGGAAAAATCTGATAAAATCAGACACAGAGCATCAAATAGTAAAGCAACATTCAGTATGCCCTGGCTTCTTTGGTTTCTCTTCTCACAAAGAACAGAATAATACAAGTGTGTTATGCTGACAGAGAATGGCTGCAGATAGGCAAAGCCTCTACAAACACACACTGAGAATTTACAACGTCACCAAAATTTTGGCATTTTGCTCTGGAATGTTGCTGTATTTAGAGTGATTCTACCTCCCTCTGCAGTATCACACAAACAGTGGCTTTTGAATGATCAGCTCTTGAGCTGCTGTTCTCATCTGCCCTTTGGTATGTGGACTTGGTTACAGAGAGTGATGTTACACTGACCCAAACCAACTTTTTTTTAGAAAGAATTTCCATTTATGGCTGATGTTCTAATGCTTTCGTGGTTGAGTTTCCTTTTTACAGTGAAAAGGGGATAAGGAAAGTGCCTTTAAGGTTTTCTGATAAGGGAGAGAGTGATGAGATATTTTCAAGGAATTGTAGATGAGTAACACTACTTGCAGAGCTTTAAAATTGCTGAGGGCAGATTATTTCAGCACCTCCAAATTCACATTCTGAAGTGTCCTAATGCAGCACAAAGCACAGTCAAATTGTACACACATATGCCTCAATACCAGAAGCAAAGTCAAAAATCAACTGCTTTGTGGCATAACCACTCAGAGATTCAGGGTCTGCACTTGCTGTAGCTTTTAGGCAACACAACATTGGTAAGGCTGGTGCAGGCACAGCTTTCCTAGAGGAATTCCATCTTTGCAGAGCACTTTTGATAAAACTGCTAGAAGATATCCCACCCCACCATCCCTTGACTCTGCCAGCAGTAGACTAGTCTTCTATTTTCCTAACAATAGTATCCATCTCAGTCCTCTAAGTAGACAACTGGTCATGAGATTCAAAAGCCACTCAAAGGCAATGAAAAGCAAAGTCAGCTTCCCTTCCCTCTGTCCCATTTCTTGTGCAGGAGGGCTCAGGAATGACTTTATACACACTCAATGAGGCCCTCTGTGCATGGGTCTAATCCTGCTAGAACTGAATTAGAAAAGAGACAAATAAAGATCATGGTTTTCCTGTCCAAATTAACTCTGTTGAAGGGAACTCAGCTTGCACAGCAGCATTTTGTGCAATCTAGGTCAAGAGTTAGGGTTAACAGCTAACATAAGATACTTCCAAATTAAGTAAGCCATTTTTTATAATGAACTTCAGAAAATTACTAGGGCTCTAGTGTAATGCTGCAACATACCAGAGTGAGGAGATTCCAGTCAGTTCAGATGCTAAAAATTTATGTGGTCCTTGTGCCCAAATTGCTAGTGATGTCTAGGCTTGCCCAGGGACATGTACATTAGCTGCAGCAGTGACTACATGAGTGCAAACTCATCCTCATAAGCAAGTGACAAAACCCACCCAACAACAGGCTCTTACTCCAGCAATGCCAAATTCTCAGCCAATACCCACAGCAGTGCTGAGGACACCTAACTCTCAGAATTTTAGAGTTTAGGCCACTGTGGAAAGGTCAGAAAACTTGTTCATTCAATTTGAGGTGAAGTAGAAGTCACAGAAAAATGGAAATCAAGAAAACTGCATGCAAAAGTTAATAAGGGAGAAAACTCCCCCCCCCATGGCAATCAGTACCAGACACCTTGTATACATGGCTGGCAAAGACTAAGTTATGTGAAGAAGATGGAAAAATGACAAAACTTATACTGGTGGATTAGCCAATCTCATATAAACATAACATTTAAAATCACTTCCAGTATTCACAGCCAGGGAGAGGTACTGTAAGTGACTGGGAAGTAGGTGAAAAGTTTTCAGAGTCACCTACTTGATACGAAATCAATGCCAGCAGAGACAGAATGAGGAAACAGATTGTGCTGATGGCTGAAATCAATAGGAAGTGAACAGGCTTCCTTCTCTGAGAGCCAGAAAGCACCTGATGGTATGAACAGACCAACAATGACAATCTGCTCATTTTACTGTTAATTTAAATCAACACACTTAGAAATTGATGAAAATATCTTCAAATCCATTCATGTTAAATTTCTTATCAAATCAGCCAAGAACATTCCAAACTTTTACACTGCTTTCTGTCAACTTGGTGTCAGGATCTAGGAGGGAGGTAATGTAAGGCAAGCACAGACTCTGAATGACTTCTATGTGGCAATGTGTTTAACTGTTATACCATCCCAGAGAATAAAAAACTAATTACACAGCATCTTTCCTTTTTGGTTTCAGACTTGGAAAGGAATTATCAGTTAGATATGGTAATGACTATGAAAAATTCAGAAAACCTCTTTAAAGTAAAACTGCTTCTGCCTGTCTGCTTCTTGAAGTTGTCCTTCAGTAGCAAGGATACCATCACTCCTCAGAGGTGTAGCAAACTGACTGTCAAAAGCAAACAAACAAGCTATAGCAATCTCTTACAGTATTTCACATTCCTCTGTAGGTGGCTAAGCAAAGACTAAAGTAGCCTCAAAAATCCCTTATGTTACTTTAAATAAGCATTTGTCATTACATTTCAGGCTTTTACCTTTTAGAAAATAGTATTTTGCTTTGAATCAAACCTTGAAATAAATATTACACGTGGAAAACACAATATTGAAGTCTGGAGTCCTACGAAGACAATACTGAAAGTGGCCAAGGCTGCTGGTATCATGCAGACCTCCAAAGGATGAACTGGGATGAGGAATAAAAAAAAGCAAACCAACCAATCAAACCAAAGAAACCCCCACCAAAACTCTCCTCCTCCAAAAAACCTGAAACCAAACACCAACTGAAAACCATATCCTGACTCAAATGGAATTTTTACCTCTGTACTGCAATATATATGTTTTTTTCTGGTCAATGCATGTCTCCAGTCCCAGAGACACTGTAATACAATATCATGAAGCTGAGTATCCAAAAAGTTCCTCACTTTGCCATAATACTGTAGACCTTTTACGATTAACTTAGTTCCTGTTAGAAAGTCAGCAGGTCCTCTGAAATACTTTCATGTTCTTGTGTAACAGAAATTGGTAGGGAAGAACCACTCCAGATTCCCAGGTTTGGTTGTTTTCTCTCTTCTCGAGTTTCCACATGCTGAGTAGCTGATGTTTACTCTCAGAGCTGCTGACAGTCTCTCTCACGAGGCCTCTGGTGGCCCAGGTGGCCTCAGGCACTCCCAAAGGAAAAACAATTCAGAATTTGGTTGCGTTTTCTTCACTGTTTCTCAGTCTGCACGTTGGCTTTAGTCAGAACATTCCTCCTCTTCCTCTTCGACCTTGCAAACCTCACCTTCAGACTGCAGAGGGGGCTGAGGAATGCAGGTGAATGTTCGGATGCTGTGAGGGTCAACTGGTGGCACCAGTGTCAGCGACTCCACACTCAGTGTATCTGTACTGTCATCAGTTATCAGGGATATTGTGGGCTGCTGGGCAGGAATCAGGCTAGGAGACAGGTTGGCTGTTTCTATGTCACTGCTTTTTACAGCATTTTTGCTAGACTTTGAGACAGTTGAAAGAGTTTCATCAGTCAACACTGTCTGACCGGAACTGGCCATCTGAGGCTGCTCTGGAGCTGAAGCATCATCTAAGAAAAGAAAACACCAAGAACAATCAATATTCAGCTTCAGATGTACATTAAGCCTAACAGTACACTAGTATTCACGAAGAACTGGGTGGAAAATGCAGTTCTGTAAGCACTGTGCTTACACATCCACTTTTTAGTAATCAGAAACAAAATATTCTGAAGGCATGACCTAAAATGCCAGCAGAGTCTGCCCAAGTCAGGCACCACATTCATATATTTAGGGTTAGAGTAGGCAGCAATATTAGAAATATTCCTAAAGAGAGGAAATTGAGGGGAAGAGTAAGAAAACCTCTCCAATCTTTAGCACAGACTCAAATGAATAGCTACCACATACCAGGAAGTTCTTGAGAAATAAAAGGAAAAAACCCACTGAGAACCACTGTCTAGTTAGCTTTCCCAAAAGGTGGCTTGTTTCTTACAAAAATTTGGAAGTCATTCTCTCAATTCATTCTCCAGATTCACATTTCAGTGCCAGCTCAACCAAAAACTATGGAAGAACAGTAAGGAGCAACCAAGGGGTGCTGCAAAATAGGCCTGTTTAATTCAGACTTGTGTTAGAGCATTCTTTGTCCTCCTAAGCAAGATAAAATTGGGAATAAGCATAACACACTACAGAAAACTGATATGTTACTACCACTTCCCACACAATGAAAAAAACCCCAGCATTAACAGCTACTTGTACAGTCCTTTTCCCCCTAAAATCCCTAGAACTAGTAAGAAAACTTTATTTGGCTCAGGATGGAGAAGGAATGGAGGGGATGAGGTGATACAGCCTTCCATGAGCAAGTATGCCCAGAAAAGTCAGGGTTTGGTTGGTTTTTTTTCAGACTAGAATAATAGATGCCATTAAAGCAACAGGTATCCAGCTTCAAGACAGACAAATTTGAGAGCTTTTGTAAGAAACAGCATGTGTTCAAGTGTACAGGCACCTGCAGAAAGGTCTACAAGGCAACGTAGTGAATACAGAAGCTAAGAATTAGGTTCTGGGTTTAATACACAGTGACCTTAAAAATATTTCCGTTTCAATACGATCCCAATTAATCCTGGAAAAGAACAGAAAGCATGAACATAAGACAAAACAAAAAAAAAAAAAGGCAAACAAAGCTGAGAATGGAATGGATATCAGTAAGGTATCAGTGAGGTAACAGTGAGATTACTGATGATTTTTTTTCCCCTTCTGGTAAGATAACCCCAAACAATAGTGTCCTCTCCCTGCAGACACCACTCCAATGTACTTTTTGCTGAACCAGTGGCTAAAGCATCTCACTTTAATAAAAACATTTTTAGACTGTAAAAAAGTCTCTCTTTAAATAAAAGGGACATCACTGCTGAGACACTGGCCCAGGTTGCCCAGGGAGGCTGTGGCTGCCCCAACCCTGGTGGTGTTCAATCCAGGCTGGATGAGCCTTGAGCAACCTGATCTAGTGAGGAGGTGTCTCTGCCCAGGGCAGGGGTTGGGGCTGGATGATCTGTAAGGTCCATTCCAACCCCTAAATTCTATGATTCTATTACTCTACTTTTGAAAAAAAAAGACAGATTCAAAGTAACTGCAGGTTCTTTTCAGCTGTCAAGAAGCTTCAGTGAACATGAGCGACTGATAACAGAGGAAGTGAAGCAAGACTTGCATGGAAAACGAACTGCTAAAACACAAACACAACCTCATTTCTCTGAGCTCCAAGACAAATATGACCATTTCAGCATGCACAAAACTGCCTCTGTGGTGATTCTACTGTCTGAACTTATAAAATCTGAGAAGTGTATTGGATGTTCTTAACCAAGACTATTTTTGTCTTACTTTTGTACTATAGTATGAATATTCACCAAAATTCAGGACTCAGATATCTGAGGCATTCTGGTAAATGAAGCATTTCAATCCATGGCATTCTGCTCAGGAATGCTCTACACAGCACATTTCTACTGCAGTTCTGCCATTTCACTTTTGATTCTGCTTTGCACTTCAATCATACCTCCTCCTCTCCTAATAAAACATCAACACGTTCTCAATACTTTCATTTCTGAACTCATGAAAGACATAGATATTCTTTTGTTATGCTGTATTATCCCCAAATCCTTCCCTGTAGGATCTAAATTACTGCTAAAGTGATTCCCTTAATGCCACATAGAAAAAGTATTTGAAAAGAATCTCCATGAAAAAGAAAAAAGCATCTAGAGTTAACAAGTCAAAACTTTTTATATAAAAAAGTCTCAAAAATCCAGAAAAATGTAAAAAAAGTCAGCAGAACATACTGTCCAGAATTTCAGCTGTAATATTAGTAGAGAATACAAGATTAGAGCTCTCCTATGCTTCTCTCCAGCTTTTATTTACTCTTGATAGAAGTCTCTCTCTCTCTCTCTCTTCTCCTCTCAGTATCTCACTAGTCACTGCCAGAGCTTCCCTCCTGTCGCTGTGTCCCTGTATTTCAGGGGAGCAGTGACACATTGCTGTAACTCAGGGTGGCACTACTGCCAGAACAACCAGTTACCTGCCAACTGCCACCAGTCCCTGCAGGACAGAGAGCAAAGAATGTGAGGAAAAAATCTGAGCCAGATCAAACCAGGGAGAGTGAAGTCAGTTTCTTAAAATGGTTGTGATGTTAACAGGTCTAACAAACACCCCCCACATACTTCCAAACCCAAGTACCAAACCAGATTTGAAAACAAGGTGCAATTCTGCAAGTTTTGGGGTATTATGAGCTCTCTGTGGCTTTAGCAGCCTTAGGTGTTTGTCAGCACTTCTGTAATACTATGGAGATTATTGTTACAGCAACACATCCAAACCAAATCACTCAACTTTTGTTCTAATAACTTATGTTAGGAAGAATTATTAGTGGAAGAAGGTACAAGAGAACAGAAAAAGGAAAGAATGAATGCCATCTACAGAGAAGTGTCCCAAGCTGTGAAGCAACACACTATGAAAGGATAATGAAAGAATAACAAAAATATAAACAACAAAACATTACATGAGAAGAATGAAATAAAATCTATGAAGATGAGAAAGGTTGTTTATATAGTATTAACAAAGTATCTTCATGCCATGAAGGAAAAAAAAAAGAAAGGAACTAGATACAAGGTAAAACAGGTTATACAAAAAAGCAGCTTATCTGAAGCATATTTCCATCTTTTTTGCATCTGCTTCCTCTCCTCACCTCAGGCAATTAAATGCTCCATAAATTTATCTGCCTGAGTGTGATGATGACAGAAGCATTAAGCTTGTGCCATCAAGAGTCCAAGGACATATCACACTGAAATCCTGTCCATTTTAGCTGATCTGTAAACAGTTTTCTTGCTGCTGGCCAAGTACCTGTGTTACTGTGCATTTGGGAGCCTGTGCTTCCTAAATTCCACTACAGCCAGGGCTGCCCTGTGCAGATGAAGACATAGCTGCTTTGAAGCTGGAGGCTTGAGAGCAGAATTTCCCCCTTTGGCAACAGAGCCAAGAGACAGGGGAGACACTGCAGATAAGGCTTGGAGAAAGGTCTCCCACAACAAAACGCAGAGACAAATATTACGCTGCTTTCTTCGGTCTCCTACCTCACTGCCAATGCTGTCAGCATGGAAATGTGTTCTAGTCAGTGTTAGGGGCTTTGGAAAGCTTATGGAGGAACCTGCCTGCATGGGGATTGAGCGAGTTTCTGCTGCAGCTGCTGCTGGAAGGCCTAAACCCAGTGTCCACCGTGACTGTCAGCCTCCGACAGACTAAACACGCGCCGGCGTCCTTTCCTGCCAGGCCTGACTAGAGGAAAACACAGCCATATATCATACGAAGGCTTTAACAATGGAACAAGGAAGGGAAACTGGAATGAAGACAAAGGAAAAATGTTAGAGCAGCAACAAGAATAAGTGACAAGGACACATCTGGAACTGCTGGTATCTCCAATGCAATTGGACGCCACACCAAGAGGCTCCTGAGTCTGGGAAATACTTCTGAAACTGAAGTATTTCTTCTTGAGAAACCAATGAGTTGAACTGGATTTAAGTTTGTGCTTCCCTGTCTGAAGATGTTCAAAATAGTTTGGGCTATGTCTGGCAAGACCAACAGCACCTCCCCCACGGGGGACTGGCAGGCAGTTATTTGCATGACAATCTACTCACACGCTTTAGAAACCTTGAGAGAAGTTATTTATCACAAATATTCTCCTTTCCCCTGGCCACAAAGCATATGCAGTGCAGACTGTGCAGGTGCCAACACTTCAGCCCATTCAGCACTGGTGTTCTGTCAGCTCCAATGGTGACACTACATTGGGTTTATAACACAGCCAAACACAGTGTTCTAAAAGATAGCAGCAGTTCAGATGATGATGCTCAGTGCATAGAAAGTGCACAGCCAAACAGTGTTCTAAAAGATAGCAGCAGTTCAGATGATGATGCTCAGTGCATAGAAAGTTCCTAGAAGAGAAACTTTCTAAGAACAAAAGTACTTCCTCACCTAATTAGAAAATTACTAGCATCATAGAACAGGAGATCAAACCACATGTACATTCCTGATTACAGAGGCAAGAGACAGGGATGGGTTCAATCAGATGGCACAGGCTCTCCGTGCTTGATTAATCATCCTCTCCTTGGAACAAAACTTTCATTTTACAGACTGGAATCCAATATATTCTCTGCAACAAGGGACAGCTCTTAGTACTTATGTTAGATCTTTTATCCTCATGCCAGCAGCATGAAATACGGCCTAAGTGGCACAGCAGATCAGTGCCTTGTGAAGTCCTCAATATCCACTGCTCCAATGTAAACACTTCCTTAAGTACTGAAGCCAAATGCCTTTTAAATGTAAGGCAACTTAAAAAGTCATAAAATACAGTGTATATGACATTCTGGAAGAATGCTAACTTACAGTAAGAGAGCTTCTACATCTAATCCTTGGCATGCAGGGTAATAAGCACTTCCTTGAAGTGCACAGTTCCAGCAAGGGTGGCCAAAAGTGACTGTACTGTAAGCTCTGAAACTTGATGACTAAAATCTGCCTAGTAAGAGAATATTTCTACCTTCGGCACAGCAACACTTCAAAAGGACACGTTAATCTAAAACCATAAATCATGTAGATACAAAGGACAAAAACAACCTGATGGCAGCATTTGCAGAACCTGACCCGGGATTTTCGATCCTAAGGACTCGGATTTGTTTAAGGGATGATTTCTGCTTAAGGGATGATTTCTGCTTTTTCACTTTTAAAGAATGGTGATCTTGTAAAGGGCTAAGCTTAATTCCCAGCTACTGCAAACAAAGGAGCTGCCAGGCTTTAAAATACCTGCCATAAAGCAGTGTGGCAATTAGGTAAGATAGCTGATAAACTTAGGAGTCACAAGAGTTTATTTCACTCATGACAAAGCAGTTAATGCCACGCTGTGACTGTTTGATGCAGGTGGGAGTGGTAACAAGTAAACTACGTTTACAAAACCCCAAACTAACATATTTTTCCCTGTGATACATTCTTGCCAGCTCTTTTGCCGTTTAACTGTTCATATATACTCTACATTGGAGCATTATTATCTCCTAACATGCAATTTGTCTTTATTTTGTTCTCACCTAGCACTGTGTTTTGTAAAAGTTATCTATGTTCCAAACCTTATTTCCTGAAAAAACTCCTCAAAGATTTACAAGGTCCATCTCAACTAGATTGAACTCTGAACAGTTTGAATCTGCCAATAGACAGCAGCTTACAACACTGTAATCACAAGGTCACAGGACAAAAAGCTGTGTGCTCTCAGATGTTGCTCTTAAGGAAGGTAGTTGACGCAGTTTCCTGGAAGTTCACATACACAACTCCCCTTCATCTTGTCTGGCCTTCTTGACTGAGGTTCCTGAGCAGCCCAGCATGCTCCTTGTGCTCAACAACCTGAGCAGCAGCCAGAACAAACAGGAGAGCAGGAAAGGAGGGACAATGAGCTCAGACATGTGCTCAGGTGAGTGTGTTTCCAATGGAAGAATGGGAAATGAGAAGGGAGATTCAAATGTGACACTGGCAGCATCCAAGTGCTACCTTGGGACATACAAAGGTGACTGCTTGTGTTCACCAGCTGCTTGTTACTTCCTCCTTGAAGGAGCCACTTCACACCATGTAAGCCTCCTCTTCTTCCCAGCCCAGTAAGGCAGTTCACTTTCAGTTGTCCTCAACTGGTTAAGAGAAAATCACTGTGTCTTACACTGAAGTGGGTGAATACCAACAATTGCTTCCATAGCTGAGCTGAGTGGTCAGCAAAAGCTGACACAACACAGACAGTGCTCATGACACTGTCACTTATCTCAGCAGTGTAATTCTCTCCATACAGAAGCCTATGGGACAGCTTTGTGGACATGCCAAACATCATCCCTTTCATGCCCATGTTCCTGGCAAGTTTCCAGGACAGATCACCACTACAGATAACTACTATAAATGGGAGAACATCCATGGGAACATTCACTACAAACTTGCAGCAAACTGGTCAAGTCAGTTAATGCAGAAACACTGTTCCCAGAAATAGACAACAGAATTGATCTGACACTGAAGATTAGCAAGAAGGGTCAACAGGGCTCCCTGAGTTGGGGAAAACCCTCTCTACATCCCTATCCCCCAAAGGCCTAGCCCCAGGGATTTTGGAATTCTCTCTGATCTCTACCAAGGGCCTTGAGACAGCATCAGCCACTCAGCTACAGCTATTGAAACCACTACTTGTTCACTGTTGGCTGCAAGGACACCAGCAGTTTGGTACAGACCAGTGCAGCAGCTCCGAAAAATTACACACACTTACTGCTCTAGTCTGATTTTAGGGACAGTTTCTGTAAAAAACTCACTTTCTTCTGTCTTGTTCTGTGTTTTCGTTGGCTTTGTGGTGTTTTTTGGGAGGAGAGGGGGATAAGGAAGAGTTTATTTGGGGTTTTATTTTTGTTGTTGTTTATATTTCTTCTATTTTCTTTTGGAAACCAAGGAGAGCCTCTTGTCACCAGGCTTTTTTAACTGCAGGCAAAACAAACCTAATACTAAGCTACAGAAATGCCAACATACTGTGGAAGTAGACTGCAATTTTGCTAACTATAGTATGTGATTATTCTTCAATAAGGCACTATCTTTTTTATGCTTGATGAGTAATTTGGTGCTCCAGCTCTATGCATTTTGTCACAGAAGCCAGACTACATGCACTCAAAAGACCTCAGTTTGGAACGTGCAGTATAGCCTTGCATGATATTTTTGTGAACTAGTGTGTGTGTACACCAATAAAAATAATTTAGATTCTTTATTTTCATTTCCTTTACTACAGTTTTCTCTTAGCCACTACTGGAAAAAACTTGGAGTTGCCTTTTTCTTCCTGATCACAGAGGATTCACACACAGCAAAGGACATTGTAGATGGGCCTGTTTACACTGCTAAGGAGAAATATGTAATCAAACAAGTGTTTTCTTTAGCCAATCCATACTGAGACTCCTGACAAATGATAGCACATCTCACTCCACATTATCTAGGCCATCAAGAGGCTGAATAACAGCAATCACTTGCCAACAGAGAAAACAAAATGAGGTCCTTCCACAGGTTTGAATAGATGGCATATAGAAAAATACTCTAATTTTCACCCTGAAGTCACACTTACTGCAGGAGTATTTTGACTCTGTGTTAGTCTCTCACAGTAATAGAAGATTTTTCATCTAGAGCTGGGTGCTAGAGTGCTTCACATATTACTCACACACTACCTAAGCACCCTTTCCTTACCCTTTCCAGCAGTATTTCTTGCAGCTATAGTTACTTCAGACATATAATGTGTATTGATATGATGATACTGTTCAGCGAAACTTCCAGAACACTAAAGGCCTAACAAAGGTTGCACCATTTCTTGTAGGACTGCAACAAAATTTAGATCTACATGGGGCCTCCAAATAAAGGCAAATGATTGAGAGGGGTACCCAGAACAACCCTCTCAAGTAGTGATCAACACTGAAAATGATCATTAACATGAGGGATTTGCTTGAAAAGGTCTTGAGAATCAAGTTACCTCTACTGTTTTATAACCAAAATGAGGTAAGTAGGTCAGTCCTAGCATGAAAGCATTCCAGTCTGTACCCTTCAGGATTGACTTCTTGTTCAGTCTCCAGCTCGAGGCTTTCCACTCAGAACAGACACCATTACAGGATTCTCTCTAATTACTACACAAAAAGGAAGAGTGATAATGCAACAAGTTCCAGTTTCAAGGTACCCACGAAACATACTGACCAACACAAACAACTGGGAGCTGTGAAACATTTGTGAAAGTCACACTGTCAGTCTCTTCCCACTCCAGCCACCAAGAAACAGCCTCCTGGAACGTGGTGGTGTGCAGCCAGAGGAGTGTTATTGCACAAGCTTTACAGTATGAACATCCTGAGTAAGTCTCTTCAAATCTCTCGTATTTGGCCCATTGGTACAAATTAACATGAGTGTCAGATAAACAGGCAAAAGCAAATGTCACCCAGTTCAAAAGAGATGCCTCATGTGAAGATCAACTTGGCCACTGTGGTGAAAGGCTAAGAGTTTACATGACAAATGTATGCAAAGCAATACTTCAGTTAAAAAACAAAACACAAGCCACCAACACACCCTCCCCCTCTTTCTAAACTGTGCTAGGAGAGAAGCCAGACAAGCAGGACATTATTTCATCAGTACTTAAAATCACTACTGAGAGATGCCAAGTATTTATTAGAGTTCCAGAAAGCTAAAGAGATCATTAAAATCTGCGCTACAATTTACTTTTAATTGGCTTAGCTGAATGATCAAGTGATCTAAAGCCATCTACTGTTTTTAATCCAATAACACAGTAACTTAATTTTACAGCAAACTACTCTACATCCCTCAGTGCCTGGGCTGAAAAGTGTGAGTGAGTACCTGCTGGGCTCTGTGCAGCAGAAGGAGTGGACGTGGAGCTTGCAGTCACTGAATCACAGCGCCCTGTGCTCCCACTGCCAGTGGAAGGTGATGGGGAGGAGAGTGGGGATGCATTGTGCTGATTTATACACTGGGCTACAGCAAAGCCTGAAAAACAGGACAGGGAGATTCACAAATTAATAAATATCTTGCAAGGGTTAAACTATGACACAAATGGGGAAAAGGTAAGAGCAAATATTGCATCAAAGTGGTGGCGATTTCACGTGGCGACCCAGAGTATGTTCCCTCTCCACCTTCTTGGAATGCAGAAAATGCATCTTACTGAAAACAGGCTACCAGTGCTGATCAATGAACAAGGAAGCAGAGTTTAAGGGATACAAAGCATTTTAAAACTTAGAGCTTGCACAAACAGTCATAACATAGCAAAACTCTTCAGTTTTTATACAGTCAATAAACTCCCAGGTCACACCTTAACATGGTAAGGAAAATGGTTAAGTCAAAAGCGAACTGAAAAACAAATCTCTTGGATAGAAAGTCTGTACTACATTTTTTTACCAGAGATAACTTCAGAAAATTTTAATCAATCATATCTAATGCTGGCAGTGAGCTTCATCCACCTTCTCACAAGTTAAAACCTTTCCAGTCTTCAGAGTGGAAAGATCTGTACAGTGTCTGACAGTACTTTTCACATAAATCATCTTCTGGATGTCAGTCTAGTATTTCCTCAAATTCTTTGCACTGTAGCATCCTCTTCTTTCCTAACGTTATCTGCATTCATTCCTTTCTTCATAACTACATAGACATAGAAATTTCTTTAGGTTTAGACAGCAAGCAGCTTTGCAGAGGTCTTTTCCAACCCTGATGATTCTATGATTCTATGAAAAGAAGTATCTTCACCATGAGCTGCATGTCAGGTGATGTACACAACTCACTCTACTGTGGGAAAGCAATAATGCAGACAAGGTTTTTGGCAGTCCCAGGAATTACTGCACGTAGCCATGGCATGCACTCCAAAACACCCAACAATACACTACTTGTTGCCTTCACTGCACAGGAAACACTGAAAAGGGAAGTACCTGACAACCAGGCACAACAGAAAGCAACTGCAGCACACAACTCTCTATGCTTTTATCTGGATGGCACTGGATGGATGAACTCACTCATTATACGGAATCTCCTACACAGGGAATTTGCTGGTGCCAGGCAATACTCAGGTTAAATGGACTTGTAACAAGAAGCACCTGAAAGCTTTAAAACATAGGTATAGCAAGTCAGGAAAATGCTGTTAGCAGCAACACACACTGACAGGTTGTGCTACAAGTAAAAAAACACCATACAGAAAGCACAGAATAAAGCTAACAAACATCAGGCCTGTTAATAATATCACTTAATCTGTGGTCCCACCTCCTACCTTCTACCTCCCATGCTTATACTTAGGAACTAGACTCAAAACCACTTGCAGAAACACAAAGAATTCCTGTGGTACTTGCATCATAGCTTTAGATGGCTGAATGCCACTTTTACCAAGCTTTTCTCTTATTCCAAGTTACAATTCATTACGTCCAAGGAATGAAATGACCACATTTTAGTGAAAAACTCAACAGTTTGGGGAGGAGCTAATTATCCCATAAATGTAAATAAATGCATGTACTTTATTTCAGAAACCAAACTGATTGATCCTGTACAATCATTTAGATAAGTTAAGCTGAGGTTACACACAATGACGCCTGACAGTCTGCACAAAGTTAACCACAAACTGAACTACCTCAAATGTTAAAGACTTCTATAGGTATCAGTGACCCCGAGTGCTACAGTTTTTAATCATAGAAAATGTGCATTAGGTTTCTCATACACACTTCACATCTGGAAATACCAGTTAGGATGGGGAATCAAAGAATAATCAATGGGCTCGTGACCACAGAAGTGAGGCAAAGCCAATTGCCAGAGTGAATGAAAATTGTTTTAGGAACAGTTACTAAAGCCACTGGTGTTACAGCAATGTATTTTGCTTCCTTTACAATGCTGGGAAAAACTGTACCCATCCAAGGCATTCTGTATCCAAAAAGGTTTGCACTTCAAGGGAGGAGAATCTTTCCATCCTCGCCACAACAGCAGAACACAAAGGTTTCCAGGGGCTGCCACTGGCCTGAATCAGCAGTTTGCCTGCCCAGAGCTTCTGCATGAACAGCACTCAGGGATTCACATCTTTACACTCCTTGCTTCCAATTTACCTTAGCACATTTCCTCTCCCCACACGACTGCAGAGGAAGGATTTTAAAGGGTGCTCCAGGAAGTTAGTTTAGATAGGAGGGAAAGGTAAACCTAAGTCATTCAAAATACTGTAAATGAGAAACTACTGACCAAGAGCAAACATTCCAATCAGGAACCTCTTCAGGAAATACTTGTAAAGAAAAGGTGAGCAGAATTAATCATCACTACGGGAAGTAAACTAACCCTTAGAAGGTTCTAGAGGTGTCTTTGTCACTCCTTTACGACTCTCAAGTTGTGATTGAGGTTACTAACTGACAAAAATATTTCCTTTCCAGTAGTCATGATTCTGCTTCAACAAAACTCTCTGTTTAAGTCTCAGGAAGGTATCTGTGTAAAGATGTTCCTTCCCAGTTTCTTGGAGAAGATCTTATTTTCACAATCACAGTGTTTCATAAGGCTTTTTCTTCCATGAAACATGTACCAACAGCTCTCCTTCCACTGTGTTTTACATAACAGCAGCAAAATTCCATGCCAAGACCTGAAACAGCTTCTCAGCTTTTCCTTTAAGGAACTTTTTCTTAAGCAATTCATGCAAATCTTCCTCCTAAATTGGAAGAAACCTTCCTACTGCCTTAGAAAAGTTTTCATGTGAAAAGCTGCCTGAACTATAGATGCTCCTAAGAATAAAAACAGAGGTGAGAAGGGGAAAGGGCAGTGGTGTGAGAGAACAGGAAGAGGAAAAGAAAAAAGCCCAAGGAAAAAACCCAACCCTGAGAAGCAGAAATAAAACCTTGGCCAAGAGAGTAGAATCTGTTTTCTCACTGTAAACCATATCTCCATTGCCCCAATGTCTGTTGGGGCAATTTCTTTTATTCTGTTCCTCTATGTATTGTTAGCTCATTAAAAGTTGTCACATCTTTCCATAGTTATACTTTGCTTTCCATGGCTAATGTTAACATGAAGTTTTTTTTTCCAACTTTTTGTCTCAAAATCTTATCAGCATAATCCACTGAGGTATCAACAATGGATAAAATAGTAAGAGAAATCTATTGATTCCTTCTGCTTTTCAAAATAAAACTACTCAGTAGGTAAGCAACCACAGTTGTTAAAATATTTAGATGTACCTTTTGCTGGAAATCGTTAACATTTCCCTTAAGACACACTGGGCATATAAATCTCAGAATAGAGCTGAGACTTGAAACTAATAGTTGAGTTTGTTGGAGAGGAAGTCATTATTTATTTACTGTCAGTCTAAGAGCTGTGCTCACAGGACCCCAACCCAATCTGCTGGTTCCTTTGAAAACAACGTTGTGCTTTATTTACACACAGAGTGCTGCAAAAGCACCAGATACTCACACACAGCCAACACCAAGATGATGAACAGCCCAGCCAAACTAGCACCAAAATGCTCTAACATTCTAGCAAAGGTCATTCACTTAAAATAGACCCTGAAGGATATTCATAGACATGACCTCATGATGACAAAATTGACCAAGTGAAGAATTTTGCTTAGGTTGTTCTCTGCTAAGAACAGCTCAGTTTATCAGTCCAGTCTGGCTGGATGGTAACATCATCCCCCTGCACTTGCACAACCTGCACTTTTCCCAGTGTTAACAGGGATGTTCTGCAGCATGGTCTGTTAGAATCTCATCACCTTTCAGGTGTCTTGCACAAAATCAGGTTCTCAGCTGCAATGAGCCTAACTCTTTTCCCTCCTGATACCAAGAAGTGCTTTCAAAACAGATTTTAACTTTGGACTCTGAAACAGTAAAGGAAAATGAAGCACAGCTTGACTACAATAAGGTAACTCCATGCTCTCTAGTGAAAGATGTAGAGCTTTATGTATGTGCCACAATAAAAACTGAACCAGACCAGACTGAAATGAGTGTTCTTGAAAATTCTGCATTCATTGACAAGAGGGATTAGGGAATTGATTCAACAGACTGAAATTTGCAAGAGGGCTGACAATGTTTATACCATAGTTAATTTTTTAAAGCCACACTGGATGTACAGCACTGACAGCTAACATGGTCCTGTAAAAACCAGTCATTAATCTTCTAAAAAACTGCCAAAACCAAAGCTCTCTTAAATCTACAGAAAACCATCACCAAGGGAAAGCATCATTTGTTTGTTCCTTACAAGGACAATCTAACTAACTGACTGTAAGAGCTCTGCAGAACTCAAACACCAGCTGAAGCTGTAGCAGCAATAATGAATACATGAAAGCAGCAACTTAACTGCAACTTATTCAATAACTTCCTTAAAAGGCACAAAATCTTTTCCTTGAAGTAAAAAACAGTGAGCCTGATTAAGTGATAAGCACACAGATTCCCAGGAAAATCACTTTGAGCTAGGAAATTTCATTCATTCATTAGTGAAGATAAGGGGAGAAGAAAGAGGCCTCTGATATTCATTTTGTTAACAGATGTAAAACAGGACAGGAATCAATTTTTATTACATCATTGGCTGTCACCAAATGCCAATGTGCCTCATTTCTCCTACTCAGTATCCCATGAAAGCTTTATTTGTATCAAATAAAATCCTCTGGATTTGCATGTGCGTGGAATTCCAAGGAAGTGTGCTGCTGTTTAACCAAACTGTCATGTTGCACCTCCAATTCACTCCCTCCAAATGAGCAGATGAAGTCCCTGGGGAGGAACAGGAGGGCACTCTTAGAGAAAGCTGAAACAGTAACACTGCCACCTTTCCAGCCACACCTTTTCCATGGAAGTCACGACAAACAAGGAAATACACTCCCATCACACAACATACACTTGTCTTTGAAATGCCTAACTGGCAATAGATATGGTTTTATAATCTGTTTCCCAGTCAGGACTCAGGCAGAGTGAGCTTCAATTAGTCCTAGAGCAATAAAACATCTGCATGCCAAGGAGAACATTTGCATTTTGAACCACTGAATCACATTTCCCAAGAAACGCTGAGTCCTGTGAAATGACTGGCAGCTCAGAGCATGAGATTGCATATTTTTGTATGGGACACTACAATTTCAACTTTCAAGCAGTAGGAGATTCAACTTTCAAATGACTCAAACCAAAAGGAAAAAATTTCAGCATCTGGAAAAGCAGCTCTGCAGAGAGGTCAATTTGTGAAACAGACAAAAAGGTGACAAAAAGGCAAAAAGCTTGTTGATTTGGAATCATTCCTTTAATCTCAACCCCAGGATAATGTTTTAGAGTAGCTGTGGCCCTTGTTAGCTCCAAGGTACACAAAGTAGTACATCCCATCTCTGTTATTTTTACAGTCTGGCAATGCTCACAAGCAAACGGAGGAAGGAACTGTGCACAACTGACAGATGTGTTGCATAAACACTGAATATGCAAAACACTATTTAAACTAACTCAATTTGCAAATGAAGGCAAAGCATTAAGACATTTCCAGTGTATGTGGGGAAACTGCCACAGAAACATTGCTCACAGCATACCTGGAATACACACCCAGCTATGACTTGTTTCTCTAGGAGGAAAGTTTTTCCTCAAGCCTCATCCTGGAGCTGTGTGCTGTAAACATTTCATTGCTTATACAAGTTCCAGTTCAGCTTCTGGAGACAGAAATCCCAAAGCTAAAACTGCTTGTTAGTGAGTGCTCCTCTTACCTGGAACTTTGTCGACAGAGGCGAACACGGAGCGTTGCACGGTGGGGTCGCTGCTGCCGCGGCGCGACTGCTCGTAGAACCTGAAGGGAAGGTGCTGGGCTGAGGCTGCAGAGCTGTGTCCAAAACCCAGAACCTCAGTTGAAGGCTGAACAGGAAGATCCAGGAGAGCTATGTTTAATCACAATTGATAATTTCTGTTACTCAAAAATATGTCAAAGGAAGAAGAGGTGAAAATAAAATTGGTAGTTGGCTCAGGATCTTAAGATGAAAGCAGATTTGGAACATAACTTACTTGTGTTTGCCTCTTAATTATGGTTACAATTGCACTGGGAAAGAAAATAGACAACACTTCTAGCAACGTTTTCTGTCCATATCCTCTTATCACCCTCTACAACTCCCTGACAGGAGGTTGTAGCCAGGTGGAGGTTGGTCTCTTCTAGCAGCAGGACAAGAGGGCACAGACTCAAGCTCTGCCAGGGGAGGGTTAGGTTGGATATTAGGAAGAGATTTTTTACAGAGAGAGTGCTCAGGCATTGGAATGTGCTGCCCAGGGAGGTGGTGGATTCACCATCCCTGGAGGGTTTCAAGCTGAGACTGGATGTGGCACTTAGTGCCATGGGCTAGTGACCACGGTAGGGTTGGACTCAATGATCTTGGAGGTCTTTTCTAACCCAGCTGATCCTATGATACCACATTCATGCTCAGGAAACCTCAAAATACAACGAAGGAAGGAAAAAAAAAAAAGGGTTACACTAAGCTCCTTAGACTAAACAAGCCACAGGAGTTATTAAAAACAAAAAGCCCCACCTGCCTGATCACTCCCTCCCGTAAAAAAAAATATCTTTGTTTTACAAATAAGGTTATTCACTAGTCACAATAGAATGTTACAGAAAGCCACTTAAGAGACAATCTGCTTTAAACTGGCCAAAAAGCCTTTACATTACCATTCAACCAAAAATTTTTAATACCAAGTAGAACTGGATTACCCTCAAATTTGCTTTACATTTTTTTATATGAAGCAAGCGATAAAAGTATGAGATATCCAGTTTGTATACTCAAGAGTCTAAAACTCTATTGGCCTCCTAGAGATCCATACTAAAAGAAACCATCCATGCTCAGAATAATTCCCTGGCCAGCTTGATAATTTTTTGACCAGTTATCACTTTGTTTTCCACAGCTCTGATTAGTACATCATTGCTCTTGGACAACCTACCTAACTGGAGTCCTTGTTTATTTGCACACCTATTTTCCTTCCTATATTTCACAGCTTCATTTTTCTATACTTATCAGTTCACTCAGTTTACTGGTAAGCTTCAATTTACTATTCACCCACTTAATATTCAAGGAATATTTGAATCACCCTTTGTTATTTCCTCACATTAACTCTTTCCTGCATCTCTTCACATGCATTTCCTCCAAACAGAAATCAAGCTGCTGATAAGCCACTCAACATTTTGGACTGCTCATCACCACCACGTCCAGGCACTAAGCATTACCATCAAGACCATCAGGACAGCATCCAGCTCAGGATCCAGCCCTGATTCAGCCCCAGGGCAGCAGAACATCTGTTTTCTGATTTGAGTTCTGAATCACTGACTCACATTTAAAGAGAAATGCAGAGTTCTGTGCAATAATTGGCAGCAAGTGGTGACACGGCAGGATTCCTTCCTTTTTATCCTTTCCTTGAACTGTCTACCATTAAATAGGAAACCACGTATTTCACTCCAATACAATACTGCTTGGAAACTCCACGCTGGTTTCCAGCTTTATGGCCCTACCACTTGGGTTTTTGCACCTCATCCTTACACTACAGAGTGACTTGCAATGACATGCAAGTCTTGTTTCCCAGAATCACTCCAAAGCAAGGCCTCACCTGCTATTCTCTGCATCTTCATGCGCCGAGCCTGGATCCTGCCCTTGGCGAGACGCTGCTTGGCGATAATGCAGCGAATGTGATCCGAGAAAATAAAGGTAGCTTGGAGGATGGGGAAGGGCTTAGAATGAGGACTTGAGGCAGGTTTGTGAATTATTATGTTCAGAGCTCTGCTGTCATCCTCTACTCCCGTCACCTGCATGTCCTGTGGAGAGACAGAAGGCAAGTAGCTAATGAAAAATCAGCTTTTAAACTATAGGCTAAATAGCACCATGGAAAGAAAACCCCGTGAATGCTCCATCAAAGCTCCAAAAGACAGTTTCCATGTTAGAAACAACACTATGAAAATAAAATCAAAACTGACTGTGGAAGTTGTGCTACCTTGGATTTACTTCTTCAGAATTGGTAAGCATAGAGATTGAGTCAGTTTAAAATTCCATTCAATTATCTGAGCACAGCAAATTTTTCAGGAAATACTAACAGTGATTGTTAAGGCAAGAAAGAGACAAAAATGAGAGAAAATTCCTAAGGCTTTTGAAGTCGATTAGATAAGCACAGATAATTTTCAAGTTGCAACCTGTCACTTTCCCAGCCATGTAGGAAGATCAGAACTGTAGGACAGTTCATTCCTGTGCTACTTGAGCAAAGTGCTTGGGAGTCAGTCCTAACTGTGACTCACTTCAGTGCCCAAATGAACACAGTCCAAAATGTATTAGGGAAGTTACTTCATCTGCAACTCTGTCTCTGTTTAGCTCTGTAAGCTTGTTCAGAAAATCACGAATGTTTTCAAGGGCAGGAAGCAGAAAAAAGGCAAGTAATAAAATAAAGAAGTCAGCATGGTACAGAGCTTAAATATAAAGCTAATATTGGTGTTACATTTATCCAACATAACATGCAGATTTTCAGCTGAGAAAAACTAACCACCTAGACTACAAGTCCTCTTACCTGCAAAAGACCTGCAAACTTCACTACTCCCCATCCAAGTCTGGCAATATCTGGTTCAACCAAACTCATCTGGTAAATATCCACAGCCAGGAATCTTTGAACTTGGCCCCCATCCTTTGTTATGACTGTACAGGCAATTAGATCACTGTTATCTGAAGAAAGGAAGGAAAAAGGTTCCATGGTTACTGAAGTTGAGGATTCTGAGTTTGGGTGTTTTATGTAATGTAAAGTTTTAATATATAAAAGTGTAAACATCTTGACAACACATGTTTAAAGCTTTTGTTGGCCTTTTAAAATTTCAATGTCACATTTATAGTTACATGGAAAGGGCAGATCCATTTTGACACCAGGAGTTCAGATATCTTACTATATGCACCTTGCTTTCTCTTGGCATCTCCATCACCTGCCAGTAAAGAAGGTTCCTTTGTTTCAGGACAGGACACTGGAACATGTCTGGATATTTCTTAACTTGGGATGCTTTATTTACTGCCTCTATTATTCCTTAATCCAATTTGTCCATCAACGTATTTATTTCAGTTGATTCCAGTTCCTGGAACAGTCCTATTCTTCTCAAGACCCAAAGCACTTGGATTTGGAACCTTCTGAATACAAAATGTCAGGCTGCTGAACTCTGTAGATAATCTAGTGTGAGATTCTCAACATTTTCACCATCCCTGGAGGTTTTCAAGCTGAGACTGGATGTGGCACTTAGTGCCATGGTCTAGTGACCATGGTAGGGTTGGACTTGATGATCTTGGAGGTCTTTTCCAACCCAGATGATTCTATGATTCTATGTAAGCCCCAACACCAAACAGAGTTGTGGAGTTCTCAAATACTTTTTTTTGACAAGTATTCATTCAATCTTCAGTGCAACATCAAGCAGATTAAAACACTTGGAATTCCTGTGTACAAATTCAACTGCCCAACTACAAAAGTGCAGTGCTTCAGGCAGAGAACTTGAAGAGCAGAAGTTGCTTTCCAGAACAGAAAGTTTGCATTTCAAATCTGACAAACTTGAAGTAAAGCATTACTGTAAAAATGTATCAAACAACAGAAAGGAAAATTAGTCATTTATTAGGCAACTGTTACAGGAATCTTTTGAGTTTATACAACTGAATGTAGCCCATTTCCATGACTGTTCCTACTTCACAGCTCCTGAAGGGTCAGAAGCTACAGTCACCCTCTGTGACAAAACCAGAAGACAAAGTGTGGTGGGAGTTATTTCCAGTGAACTGCTCTGAGAATACCTACAGCTCTGCAATCAGTTCCAGACACCTAACCACAGTCAGATGAAAATATCAAGGCCAGTAAATTTCAGTTTTATTGAACTTTCATCTGGGGATTAAAGGGAACCACAGGCTGAATGGCTACTGATGTGACATCCTGCAGGAAATGTGGTGTCATTCCTGAGATTAACAGCAATGTCTGTCTAATCTTTCCTCATGCAAAATGAAGTCTGTAGCCAGTTTAGCCACTACACCTTCAAGACATGAACCCAAGATTTCTCTGCTCTTTCTCCAAGAAAAATACAAGTTTTAGGAAATACAGACAAGCAAGGAGAGTCCAAAGACCTCAGCTGCTTGCAGTGCAGAAGTTCTAAAGTAGGTGAAAACAGTTGCTGTGTTCATGCAGTATTTCCCTGAAGAGGTTGCATGATATGAAGTCTTTGTGAACATAACAGTTACTTGAGGAAATGGTCTAAATGTCCCTGATCTGCCTCAGGGCTTGATCTTTAATGATTTTACAATTTAAGTCATCACAATTCCAGAAATCATCTGCAGACACTAAAAGCTCTTACAGAAAACTTTTAGCCCTTGGTATGCACAGCTGGTGGCTCAAGATAAGCAAGAGGCTGCAGATGCACCACCTCCCACTTTACAGAAAGAACTGTTCCCAAGAGCACAGAGCCCACTGGGCATTATGTTCTGCTTTAGTACTTACTAAGAATGCCACAACTCAAGGATCCACCTAGATGTTCCCACAAGGCACACTGAGTTGAAACGAGAGGATGTGTCCCTGCTCTTATATCTGCACTGCATTTTGGCTGACTCTTCTCCTCAAGTATAACAAGCTGTTCTGAACAGCTTTCTCCAGCTGACCCTGTTTTGAGTAGTGGAGTTAGACTACATGATATCCTGAGGTTCCTTCCAACCTCCATTATTCCAGCATAAATTTGCCTCAAATCTTTAAACAATGTTGACTGTGAAGGCCTTTACAAAACCTCTGTGTTTGGTAGAGACAGAATGAACATGGAGACTTAACCATAATGTCACTTCTTCCAGTTTCAGCAGAGAAATAACAGCTTTAAATGCATCATCATTTACCTCTTGCCCATGGCATTTCAAACAGTGTCACAGCATCCTGTCACCAGCCTGAAACTGAGCACTGAGGCTGTTCATCTGAGCTGCTGAGTAAGACTAAAGACACCCACACCAGACACCTACAAGCTCACATGCAGCCTAAGGCAGGCACTTACCAGCTTCACACTATTTACAATAGAAAAACAACACTGCAAAGTAACAGCAGAGACCATTTCTTGTGGCAGCACAACCAGCAACATGGACTGAACCTTCTGTGGAACCTGTACATACATCCATGTATGGTGCTGACAACCTTGCAGCTACACTTAGAGGTTTGCAACCAACATATGCACATCAAAATATCACAGTGTTTCTTTCCAAGAAACTTTAATCTTTCTCATCAAGTTCCCATAAAACACCAGCATTGCATTCTATGAGAACCTTATTTGTGCATTCACACATTTTCAAAATCCTACATAAATCCTTGTCCTCTAATGTGTGTCAAACTGAAAACTGATTTGGCACTTAATACCTAGTTGGTAAAAACCCCAGTGATCTTAATTATTAATTCAAAATTTCTATTAAAAAAATCAGCTCAAGTAAACCACTGAATTTCTAAAATAGGTATCAGGAACAAAAATCTTCTTTTCAAATATTCCAACAACAGTAGCCTGCAATGAGGGACAGGGACACTACAGTCCCTAGTTTTGAGTGACGTGTGTCCTTCCTGGAGCAGCAGTGCAGTCAGGTTTTCTGTAATGATAAACTCTGTTGCTGAAGTCTACACTAACAAAAATTTGGTTTTCTCCTCCAAAGAAGGATGGATCTGCTGTCCCAGCCTAAGTGTGGAACAAATTATAATTGCTATTTTCAGTGAGTTCCTGGTTTGGTTATATACACAATATGCTTAATTAAAACTGCCTCACTGAGTATAGCCTGGCAGATTCTTGTCTACAAGATGATTTCTAAGCACTATTCCACTTTTTAAGTCATTCTGCTTTTATACTGCAGCTGTGAGACTTCTTGAATGCTTTCCTAACCCACCAGTTGATAAACAGTGCAGTTAAGAATTCCACATTGTTACTATTATAATTTTGGTAGCAATAAAAGAAGATTACAAAGAGAATATTGTGGTGGTCACTTACACAAACAAGATAACCATTTGGAGTTTTTAACTTAAGCAAGTCAGCAATTTTTCCATGTCAAACTACTTGGGAAATTGAGGAACTACTTACTCAAATCAAGAACATCATCTGTCTTTATCAAATTTTCTTCCCTTGTGAGTGGTAACTGAGTTTCTAGTTCACCTTGCAAGTGCAGTGACAGCGAACGGAGCATGAAGAAAACTCTGATTGCCTTGAGAAATTAAGGAAAAGAACATTAAAATATTGCTACACTCAGCACCACACATTTCAACAGAACCTTACAAAGGTGTCCTGCCTTCTGCAACCCCCGAGCTTGTGGCCATACAGCAAACCCACATTTTAAATTGGAAAAGGAGAATGTAAGTTCAAAGTTAGCTAAAAAAAGGATATGAAGAAGTGGAAACATGTTCTTTATTGTCAATGAAGTAGAAGCAGAGAACTCTTAACCCACTGGCACACTCACACAGACTGACAGGAGCTGTTTGAGCAAAAAGACTGATTGTCCTTGCAATACCTGTCTGCTACACACACCTACCAACCTTCAGAGACTCTCACATTTTGAACTGAAAGACTAGTAACTTTTCTGGCAGAGTCTAGCTAAAACATCTACAAGTTTGAGAGAAAACAGTGAGGTGAGCTAAAACGTCTACAAGTTTGAGAGAAAACAGTGAGGATGTTTGAGTTCTGATATGCTGTGTTCATCAAAACTAGCCCCACGTCATACATTCTTGGAGAGCTTAATCTATATTCTCAGAAGGTCTAGACCAGGGCAAAGTGTTCTGCCAAATGCACCAGTCCCAAGAAACTTTCAGCAGCTGCTCTGTGAGATGAATGTGCTAGCTTTGATTGAGAAATTCATGACATATGGGATGCAAAGTCCCAAAGTGTCAAAGAACATCATAATTTTATTAGCCCCATTTTGAAAGGCACCATTTATATTCCTCTTCCGTGACAAGAACTCTATGTTCAGTAAAGCAAATGCAAAATCATTCTTGATTACTTCCGGTGCTTTGTTTTTGAAGAGTTTCCTACATAGCAATTCTGTGGCCTACTGTAAATTAACTGCCTTACAGTAAAAGCATTGACTTCATGAACAGCTGCAGTGCCCAGAAACTCCCAGAGTGCAGGAAGTATTAGGAAAAACAAAGCTAAAGTGCTTTAAGGGAAAACCCTTCACCCCTCTATTTTTAAAATCAGCAGAACTGTGGCTCCTGTGAACCAGAAATGTGAGTGCTTGGCCAGCAGTCCTACTGGTGCTGCTTTCAGGAACTTCTGGCAGAACAGGGATGGAGAGAGGGAAGCCATGTATCTGTATCTTCCATGAAATGACACAACTTCTCGTCAGCTTCATGCTTTAGGACAGAGAGGTTTGCTGGCTGATTTTTGCACCTGTGCCATTGATAACTCAAGAGGTATCAGATTTCTGAGACTTCCTCCTAAAGTTCTTAAGAGGAAAAGAACTGCCACTTTGAGGGACTTTCTACAGCAAAAGAAGAAGTGAGAGCCTAGAAAGATGTGATCTATGATCTCTAAGCTAAGAACTTACGATACAACCAAAGTAAGGTGGTACTTCACCTGCTAGTGAAACAAAACTCAAGACCTTGTTTGGAATCTGTCACAGGATGCTCAGAATCAAATCACCATCCATTTGAAACCATCAGAAAAACCTCAGCAGGTTAAGTGGCAGCAGCAATGTCACAAGACACACCTGAAGTTCAGCATACACAAGGCAGCCCAGCTGGGAGAAAGCAGCATAGGAACTGTGGAAGTGCTAAAACTTCTAGAGCAATGTGACTGGGGAAGGAGGACCAAGAAGTATTCTGGGAATTCCCGCTGATGACAAAGACTCTTCAATCCCAAAGAATCTACAGGAATATTTGTATTGATTTTTTCATTTCCAGCAACGGAAGTTAAGCTATGCCTTATTTAGCCCATGAAAAATCATGGAATAGTCAGCTCCTGTTAATGTGCACTTCTAAGCATCCTTCTGCTCAATGCCTCAGAGACAATTCCAGGAAGCATTTTTGCTTTCTAAGAACAATCCTGCTCAAGATAACTCACAGTGATTTATCAAACAGCTCCCTGTGATAACAACAGCTGTGTGGCTTACAATAAACCATGAAAACAAACCTTTTCAAAAGATTCCTGGAAATATGTTTTCTCTTGATTATACTCACACATACACTTACGTCAATGCAAAGATACCCAAAGAACAGCTCTCTGTGAATGATGATGTGCAGCAATGTATCTCCCAGACTTACTGGCACTGCAAGGCTTACAGGACACTGCCAGCCAAGGGCCAAGGACTGACCAACCCACAAATGCTGTCACTCAGGTCAGTATCACCTCTACAGTCACAAAAACAGATGTTTTGCTGTTTTTCTCCTCACGCTCAAGATCTGTCCTGAATTACTTTGGCAAGATGAACACTGGAGTAGAATCACATTTTTTGCTGTGTCTAGAAACATGAGCAATATGAAGTCAATCAGGTTTCCCCTGGAGATTCTTACTACAGACAGACTGACATATCAGATCAAAAAAGGAAGTTGGGAATATATTAATAAATGTCATCACAATGCCTCTGTATGGAGATGTCTGCTTGGGCTGAAAGTGTAAAACCTCAGTTTTAATCATGTTGTATTGACTAGGCACAAGAAATCTTAGTGACGAAGTTTCTCCACTAGGATAGGTAATTATCATATACTCTACACAGCTCTGTCTTCATCAAGTCTTTTGGACTGTATTGATGAACCTTCCAATCCTCCAGTTTTCAAGGGAAATATATTTGTATTTCTAGAACTGTTCAAAGCCTTTGACAGCATTTTGTTTTGAACGAATGCAAGAAAAACAGTCTTACCCTTCGTGTTCTTTCCACATCTCCACAAGGCAATCTCTTCACAAAATCAATCCCAGTCAGCGGTGTCCCCGTTGGAGGCAGCAGGATTGAGGCATCCATCATCAGGTATTCCACATTCATAGGTTTAATCTACAGAAGGATTTTAACATTGATTACTACACAGAACAATCAGCATTTGCCTCTTCGCTTTCAAATACAACTCACTGCTGCACATTCTGCAGTTCTGACAATTTTTTACATAATCTCTCTAATTTTAAGCTCCTCACATGCAATCTCTGGTTTGTACCTGCTCATCAGTCCCTGACACACTGTTGAAGTTTCCATACTGAGAAACCACAGGAAAAACTCCAGAGGATTACAGAAGAAAAGCCATTTCACAAATACTATACCCCAAATTCTGTCAGGTTTTGACTTGAATTTGTGATTACTTCAATCACAAGAAAAAAGTTCCCCATAATGTTTTCTCTCCTAAAAGAACTTTCTAGTTTCTAACAAAGCAGTGACTTTCACAGGAAACAATTCCCTTCAATCTTGTCACTGACAGTCTCTCCCTTCCATGGTTATTTACTTTCATGAACCTCTCCTAGAGCAGAAAGGAGTTGTCCCTGTTGTCCACTGATTAGTAAAGTGACACTGCTCAAAAACTGAGACCTTACTGGCCTTCTGATAGATTTTCATAGTGTTTAATAACTAAGGGAAAAAATTAACCCGGTGTCCCATTTAGTAGGATAAAGCGATTTTTGTATACTCAATGGCCTTTACTAAACAGAGTTGTGAAATTTCACATCAACCATTTATCTAAGTATACACAACTCCTTAGAGGCAAAACCACCACCCACATTTTGTTGTTCTGCTCCCAGCAATGAAGTCCCCAGTGCTCTCAGCAGCTATCAGGACTTGTTTCTGTGCCTGTGCTGTATCAGGGTTTGAGGGTTTGGCAGGGCAGGAAGGTCACTTACTGTCATACTCCGGTACTCATCTTCAAACATATCCAGAAAAATTTCTTCTCCCTTCCAAAAGAAAAAATATAGCCATGAATCCTTCTGGCTATGGAGCTGTGTGTGTTTGGTTTGGTTGTGCACAGGGTGTCTGTGACCAGGAGCTGTAGAGACCTCTGTGAGGGGAGAGCTAGAGCTGCCTCGTGCTGGACACAGCATCCACCAGCACCACTGCAGGACACTGCTGAGCCCCTCAGCAACACTGAGGGCACCTCTGGGAAATGTAATTTATCTTTGTTTGTCACTATCTATCTAAATTTATTTTTCTTGGCAATAAATTAAAAGTTTGCCAAATTGAGTCTGTTTTGCCCATGACTGTGATTGGTAAGTGACCTCCCTGTTCTTATCTTGCCAAGATATTCTGTTCTCTCTCTCCATCCTGTTGAGGAGGGGCAGTGAGAGAGCAGATGAGTGGACCTCTCACAGCCAGCCAAGGGCAACCCAAGACAATATACTTATTTTTTGTGAGCCATATTGAGTTAAGATTCTTCAAGAGAATTCTAACAAAACCAGGAAGATATATCAGACACTTGAAATCTGTCATAGATTTACTGTTCCTTACACAGCAGTTAACACCTAGGGCTAAACATTTTATTTCTTTCATTGTTTACAACAAAAAAATCTCAACAAAAAGCTGCAAAGGTCTTCAGTATGAAAAAAGGATTAAGCAAATCTTTAGATCATCATTTCAGATAAGAGGCAAACAAAAAGTAATGTAAAAACCAGACACATTCCACATGAGTGCCAATGACAAGATCCCAGAAATCATGTTCTAATAGTGCAGCCCCAGATCCAAGAAATACACAGCAGATGTAGCTGAAGGACATGACTGCTAACTTCATCTCCAACATAAACCATGGGAGTCTTCTGACAGCCCTTTTGTGTCAGTGTGGTATGGGAAGGGCAGAAAGCACAGGAAACCTCCAACAAAACACTTCTCTGTCACAGATTTGGAGTTCCTGCCTTAACAAAAGTGCACAAAGACTGGGCTGCAGACTTCCTTCCAATCCCACATTATGCAAGGGATTTTTTCTTAGAGCATTATGCATATATACCTTATAGAAACGACGGAGGAGATGAACACTCTCTTCCCTCGCACCCTAGAAGAGATAAAATGTGTTTCAGGGAATACATACATCATGTACTTATTAGTCACATTGAAAAGCTGACTCAAAAACTCAGTTATAGACAGTCTCTTCTGTATATCACATACTTAGAGGCTTCATCTCAGAACTTGACAGAACACAGTCCTTGCACTTATGAAAATACAGCTTCAAAAGCACTTTTCTTTACATGACTGAGATGGAGGTCATAAATTTTAGAGAGATTAAATATAACACTGCTTGAGAAGTTCTGAGCTTAAAAACATGGTAACAGCACAGCTGGGAACAGAACACAGGTTATTGATTCTGTATGTTCACTGCACAAAGTCACCAATGAAAAGATATTCTAGAAGCTCAAATTCCACATTTAGGCTTACTGCAATCAGAAATGAAACAATTTTATTCAACTACACTACAAGACTCAAAGCCCAGGAATGCTGTAACTGCTGATGTGAAAGAAAACACTCACCTCGAGACAAGCAAGGTGAACATCCTTTATGATGCTGCTATTTTTGGAGAACACAAGCTGCTTCAGCAACAGGCAGCCAAGCTCTAATGTTGCCAAACGGATTTTCCCATCTATGAAAAGAAAATTGCAATATCCAATAGAGTAACAGTTTAATTATTGCTCTTGTCATTCATTACCCAATGTTCTTCAATGTTTCTGTTCTTCCTGCAATTACCAAACTTGGCTCCTCTGTCACATGCCCTGTCTGATTTTACACTTCTATAGTGGAAAAAAGAAAAGGTATTAGAAATGTTCAGTCTATGCCCTGTGTGATAAGGCTGATGGCTGTATCAAACAACCAAAGAACTGGGAGAGCAATCTGAAGCAGAGGAAAACTTAATGCAGAACAATGCAATAATCAGGCAATGAAGATCACTACTATTCAAAAAAACCAGCTGAAAGCAATGCCTTTATCAATCTTGAGCACAAGTTGAATTACACTAAGATTACAAAAAGGATCCCAGACATTGTGATAAGGCTGATGGCTGTATCAAACAACCAAAGAACTGGGAGAGCAATCTGAAGCAGAGGAAAACTTAATGCAGAACAATGCAATAATCAGGCAATGAAGATCACTACTATTCAAAAAAACCAGCTGAAAGCAATGCCTTTATCAATCTTGAGCACAAGTTGAATTACACTAAGATTACAAAAAGGATCCCAGACATTTGGCCTGGATAAAGTGACAAGATGAAAGAAGTTTTGTATATAGCATACTAGTATGGCACAGCTTTTCCTTCAAAAGTCTAAAGGATTCAGATGCAGCCTGGACCTGAGAATCTAGAGAAGTCAGAGTTGCACTGAGATTTTACACTTCTATAGTGGAAAGAAGAAAAGGTATTAGAAATGTTCAGTC